GCGTCGGCGGTGGATTGTTCGTTCAGACACGTTGTAGACAGCAGCAGCGCGACGATTACTTTATATTTAATAGAGATTAATAGAAGAAATAGCAAGCTAAATATCTACTTTATTTAAAGCTAATTAAGTAGCGCTACGTTGAGCCATTGTTCGTTGAGATAGGAGAGGTGCGCAGGTTTGGTGGGGTGCGGCGCTCGCTTACCTGCGGCGCTCGCTTGCCACATACGTTAATAGTCCGGGGTTGCCAAGCCGCCAACACGCCTCGGTCCGCCCGCAGTCCCTCGTCTACACTGGCAGCCCTGTCTAACCCGCCAACTGTCTGCAAGCCAAGTCTCGCTGCTTTCAGGTATCCTATATAAAGACGTTGACTTGCTGTACAGCCCACGGAACCTCACGGAACCCTGCCTCGACCACGGACACCCGTCTCAACCCGAACCATCTCCCCAGCCCACTCGCACATGGCCAGGTCCAGGCCCTCGACGTTTTCCTCTGGCTGGTCTGCATGAATTACGACCAGAAGCCATGCATACCCCTCGGACGCAGCAGGAAACATGACAGGAAAGGCTGATTACTTTCTGGAGTCCAGATGGAACGTCAACCAGTGCCCGTAACGCTCGCGACTCCACAGTGCCACGAGCTGCGTCTGGAAATTGCGCTCTTCCCATTCTTCTGAGAGCGGCATGGATACGTAACCTGACCGTTTGCTTCTTCCCAGATAGGATGCGCGGTCATAGTCATTGCAAAAACACGCTTCACCAAATGCTGGATATTATCGCGACCCTGGATCGTCGGTGACTTGAACTACAACTCAAAGTCACTAACCGCTTCTGTCTCGGCCTGTGCCATGAATTTGTATCCTGCTCAAATCGCAGTCACGTGGTGGAAATCCGGCACGGCTGTAAACACGGTCGAACGAGAAAACTTGACCAATGCGTTTTGGACTGTTTGGTTTCCAGGCATGCGCTTTGTTGATATGGCCAAGATTTTGTGCCTCAATAGAAAGCCAGCAATCACTCACCTCAATCAATCAGAAAGCTCTGCTAAATGCGTGCATCTTAATAGCAACTTCGGCGTCCAGCCCGAGTGCATGATCGAAGCCCAGCCCTCGGTCACCTACCACACTCATGCTATGCCCCTCGTCAACGATGAACTGAGCATTCCCAGCTGGAAGCACCTCTTTTGCGACTTGCACGAGATCCCTCAGGGGACACATTCGCCCTCCATGCTGCAGAAACTTTCAACAACGACGAGAACGCATTTCTTCCCCTACTTGACAAGTGGCTGCATACTCCATACCGAAACCAAGGCCTCACAAACGCATCCAAATCATTGAGGATGAAGATAACTTTTGCGCTAGCCAGCGAATGCGACATTCCATTCATACTGCTGACAAGAACGAGCTCGTAGACGACGGCATCGCCAGCTCGGGAGCTCCCTTCAAAATATGCTTAGTTTCCATCACAACCAGTGCTAACAATTAGCGCGGCCTCAATTCCATAGTACCCTGCGATTTCTTGCTCATCTACTCGATGTAGTCGTATCTACCATCCATTATACGAGAACCGCCAGCCCCAAGTCGTACTTTGGGATTGTGAGCTAGTCCCTGTTCAAAAGCCTCGTGCAAGGGACCGCTAGCACTGAGACAGAAGGAGTCGTTGGAGTAAAAATCGACAGTAGCTCTTGCTTTCCAGGAATTCTGCGGGGACAAGAGCTTCCCGTCGGTGTAAACTTCATCGAAGAATACTGGGTTCAAGTTTTACTTGGATCCACGTGTAAAGCTAATGGTCTCTCCGCCGCACGTCAACAGCCTCATCCAAATTACGGTAGAAAACTGGTGCGGCGCGCATTGTGTGTACACGCGGCTTCTGGCTGGATATCCATCGACTGAAAATAACTGACGACATGTTCTGCTGAACGAACGGGTACCCTATAATGAGAGTCGCGCAATATGAGCTAGCACAAAAAGCATCCTACGCCTGGCAAAGTTGCCTATAAACACGAATCACAACCGCTTGGGTGGCAAATGAGGACCAGGAAATTTGCTTTCCAATTACCGAGATCTAGAAAAGGCCCTCATATCATGTGAAGAGGCCTGGGTGATTCTAGATACGATGCGTGTTGGCCACTATGTCCATTCCAGCCTGACTGGCGTCTAAACCCAAGACCTGTCACTGAGTGGTGGTCAGCATCCCATACAAAGGAACAGGCCGTACCAGACAGCCCAATCAAGCCACCGATTTTTGGCATGATCTCCACCGTCAGTCGATAAGGCATTGGATCGGCGCCAGAATAGTCTCTTTACTAGCTTGCTTCAGACCCTAGAAAATCAAGTCAAGGCATAAACTGATATCAGGTTCCGGTGGTTAGTACCATGCTCTCGATCAGGCGCCTCAGGCTATTTCCTGGATGATGACTCGGCAAACCTGGACAGCCCTTCTTTTCCGTGCCCAAGAAGGAAGTGGAGAGGCTCGACCCTCAACAATGAATGTACCATGCTAGAGGTCGCCCGCGAGTGTTTCGAAGATGGAGGAGGAATGGTCTGGAGAGTGGAGAAGATCGGTTGCTACATTGGCAACTTGGGTGCAGATTGGCTTGAGATCCTTGGACAAGAGACCGAGAATTTCGAACACTACTGGATTTCTGGTTACGGGAGTTTCTCACTTTCCAACCGCATTTCGTATGAGATGAATCTTCAGAGACCCAGGTATGATGAATTCTTTACTTCATTTCTTTGTTCCTAACAATCTATCTAGCATAAAAATTCGAATATCTTGCTCTGCATCAATGGTCGCGCTGCATGAAGTCTGTGTAGCGTGCTCAATGACCCTAGATGAGAATTCATTTACTTCGCTCTGATTATACTTTCCAAAGCAGTATTCACTCTCTGGACAAATATCTGCAAGCAATACTCGCCGAAGACTTGCCAGACTGAAACACTGAAAGATACTGTTCCAAGGCTGGGAAAAAGAGTCAACTCAATCTCACCGAGTTTGCCCAGCCGCTCTGTACTGTCGTTCAGATTACATCGGTAGACACTTTGCGCTCGCTTGGGATAGATCCAGATGCTTTATAGGCTACTCGAGTGGTGAAATCGCAGGTGCCCATGCTGCCAGGGCTTTGAGTGCCGGTGCTTGGTATGGGTGTTGCTAAGACAGAAAGCTTCGTGCTGCTAAATATCAGAATCGCATGCGACCGTTCTACTTCGAAGTACCAAGATGACGCCCAAGGATACTCCTCCACCACCATACAGATGTCATTTCCATCCTCCATCTCGACAACCCCTTTTTGAAAAAAAAATTGCAGATAAGCCATATCACGATTTCCAGAACTTTGTAGCCAATTTCAACAACTCTGGTGTGTTCTGGGTTACAAAGCCGTGTCACAGCCGAGCCCAGGATCCGCGCTTCGCTCAAGTCATTAGCCCTGACCGAATGATTCTGTCCGAAGTCTTGATCGAATTTGCCACTTGTGAGATTGATAACGCGGAGAGTTCGCTCACACTCATTGACTAGGCATTCGAGAAGGTCAGCAAGCGCGGTCGTGATGATGTGCTGCGTCCGGAGTTTGAACTCGCTGTCGAAAAAGGTTTAATCCGTATTGTGCAGTACTTTCTTGGTGGTGAATGACGCGTTTATTCAAGAGATGGAGGGCGAGCGCATACACATCGTAACAGAAGCACCAGGCAGACCAAACACGCTCCACTGGGTCCGCGAGGTTGAACCCGAAACGCATGCTGCTGGCGTCCACTTCAAGGACATGCTGATTAGCATGAAGCTCGTCGATCATGTTGGACGGTCCCATGGCCTTGAAAGCGCTGGCATTGTTCGCCGAGTTGGTGTCAAAGTCGAGGAGTTGAAGCCTGGAAATCGTGTTGCGGCTATACAGTGCGATATGATGTTGAAGCTACTCATTGTCCACGAGATCATAGGCGTCAAGATCGCGGATTCACTCAGCTCTATTATCGTCGGCAAATACAGCATCCCTCGACACAGGATCTTCAACTCTTGCAACTAATTGTTCGTAGAGAGCGTGCATTGCGAAACCCACGGCAGAGGCGTCGACCAATTTCTCAACACCCTCCATGAACAGCTCCTCCACAAGACGGGGAAGTGGGTTGCACCTGTTGATAAACTCATTGAGGTCGCGAAGCGTGGACTGATCGGTTACGGACGTCTCGATCTGGAGCCGTTTGAAGCCAAATGAAGTTACTACTGTGTGAAAGTTGATGCGTTCTGCGATAATAGTAGTTCGCGTTTGAAAGAGTAAGTCATGTCTTTTCGAATTGGTATTCTGTCGTTAAGTAACACCAGTCTAGTCAGATGAACAAGACTCTACAATGTCTCCGGCAAGATCTGATCAATCCTATTACTATTGCTCAAGACTTCAACGCCTCGTCTGTCACCGAAGCATCCAAGTATCTGCTCTCAGGCACTCACATCCGACGTGTTGGCATCCGTATTCGCGACGTATGTAGCACGCTAGTCGACTCTGGAAAAACAAAGTTAGCAACCCACCCCGAGAACTTCAGCTCAATCCCCCAAGGCTGTTATCGCCTATTCGGCGGTTTTCAGAGGTCTCGGTCGTGCAGTCTCCACATACATGGCTCGCGACTTGGTCTATCTAGGGCGTGGCGCCGGCCAAAGCCCACACGGACCAAGTCTTTATCAGCGAACTGAAAAAGCATGGGCATCAACGCGCTCACTGTCCGCAGTAAACACGACAGATCTACAAGACGTAAGTAAGTATTCGCGTGGTGTCGCCAAGGCCCGCACACCGCTCAAGCGCCGTCCTCCCACTACAAGTAAGTCAGTATACGAAGGGAGGACCTCGTATTCGGCGAGTCTCCGCCTATTATCCACGTGTGTTTTTTTTTGGGATTATCATTGCCATCTCCGAATGTAAATGGGATATTCAAATTCCTCAGTCTACACGCTAAAAGTGCCAAGGGTTAAAAGTGAGCTTGGAAGGTTTACTTGTAGATTATATGAATCTTATTATTATTATTATTATTCCATTAGAGTCTATCTGCAGTCAGTGACTATGTAAGACTTTGGCCAGAGGCCGTTCTAGGTACAATTTGTTTAAAGTGAGAGTGTTCTCTGTATAGTACTGCTATTGTGCTGCGGTTTAGTCGCTTCTAGCTGCGCTTAAAGCAGACTCTAGTTGCTGAAGAGCAGTTTAGTAAACAGGAAGAGATGTTAGACAGCAGGGCTATCTTCCAGCGAGCTCTTTTAGGGCTAAGGAAAGTAACTTAAGAAAGTTTGTTAGTTATTATTAGTTTTAGGTAGTGTCTCTCTGTTCTCGCTTATTTTTAGTTATCTTGTTCTTGGCCTAGATGCCAGCCTCTAGTCCCTACTCTAGTTTTAGCAATAAAAGCTAAAGTCGCCTCTCTGCCTTTGCTAGTGTGGAGGAGTAGTTAGATTGTTAGGTAGTTCTCGCGAAGAGTTGCTTTTAGCGCTTGCCTTTCTGTGTTGTAGTGCCAGCAGTATAGGAGAAGGTGATCTGGTGTCTGTACTCTCCCACAATCGCAGAGGTTTAAGTTTCTCTTTTTCACTCTCTCTAGATAGGCGTTAAAGTATCCGTGGCCTAGCTTGAGAGAGAAGAAGGCGCTAGAGATTTCCCTTGGTGTACCTC